GAGGAGGAGGAGGAGGAGGAGGAGGAGGAGGAGGAGGAGGAGGAGGAAGAAGAAGAAAGAGAGAGAGAGAGAGAGAGAGAGAGAGAAGAGAGAGAGAGACAGAGAGAGACAGAGAGATACAGAGACAGAGAGAGAGAAAGAAAGACAGAGAGAGAGAAAGAGAGACAGGGAGAAAAAGCAAGGTTTTTCTCCTGGCTGACAATAACAAACGTCTCCTCCCTTAGTCTCTAAGCCACCCAGGAAAAAGTAGATTATCATAAATAAAGGGGGAAAAAAAGAGAGACAGAGAAGTTACCCTGAAAACCAGAGCTATACAGAGACAACAGCTGGACGGTGACCATAAAGGGGACCTGTCATCCAAAAGGAAGGTGAAGTACACAGGAAAATCATTTGGAGATCTGCTGGATCCCCTCAGGGTGTGTGAGTGTGTATGAATGTGTAGTGGTTTTGTTCCCCTTTGTTAGGCCACATGCTACAAGTCTTAGCACAAGAAGAAGAAGCGTACAGAGCCATGGAGATAGGGACCAAGAGAACTAGAGAGGTGCAGGTGACGAGGGAGAGTCATTCAGCCACAGAATTACATACAAGAATAACCGTCAAGAATCACAAAGAGAAGGAGAGGTAACACTTTCTTTATCTGTCAAAGGCGAGCAAGGCTCAGGAGAGTTGCCTAGTACTTTGGCTGGCTCGGGCATCTGCGAGAGAGTTTTGACCTATGAGAAAAACAGGAGGCAGGATTAGAAAAGTAGATGGCGGTCTCACAGGTGACACCGCAGGCCCAGGTTTCTATGCTCCTAAACAAATAGCTAGACCAATTCTCAACTTGTGGGTTGGGATCCCTTTGGGGGCTGAATAACCTTTTCACAGGGGCCCGCATATCAGATGTCCTGCATAGCAGATATGTACGTTATGACTCTTAATAGTAGCAAAGTGACAGCTAGGAGGTCTCTACTCTAGAAACCCTGTGAGACACACGCCTCCCACATTAAAGTATTCCCAGTCCTTCCTTTACTCAGTGCTCTGGACCCTCTGCAGACCTCCTGAAAACTGAAACCAAAAGTAGATTAAGTGGTGTGGCCATGCCTATGGCCAATGTCCTTACAGCTGAGGACACGTGACACGGGAAGCAGGGTACTCATTGTCACCCTGTAACTTGCTGTACCTTGCCTTCCTTCCATTTTTAACCCAGTTAGAACGACGCATCTTTCCTATCTATGCTGGTTGTATCTGGGGCTGAAAACCAAGTAGAGAAAGGAAACAGCCACCTAGAGCCAGGCATGGTAGTGCACTCGCAGCCCTGGGGATGAGGTGGAGAACTTAGACCCCAGCTTGGCTGTCTATTAAGACTGTCTCAGCACGACGTTCAGAATGAAGCAAAGGAGCAACATCGTACCTTATTGTGCCAGCCAGAAGTGGGTTAAAGGCATATAACCAGTCATTCATGTCTTTGTCATTGAGAGCTTGCAGAAGGACCCCACGGTGCTTTGTGCATACAGCAAAAGTATTAGGTGTCTGGAAAGAGACATTAAGTAAAAGAAAGTTACTGGGGAGAATGAGTATCTACGGCCATCTTGCCATATTCACAGGGTGTAGAGCACTTCACACTGAAAGTTCAAGCAACCCAGATATAAACTAGGATCCATGCCACAGACCAGAATGCCAGACTCAAAAGAGAAGAACACAGGTAGCAACAGACAGCAAAGTCAGGGCAGACTGACCTTCACCATGGCCTGTTGGTCCTCGCTGTACTCCACCTGTGCTGTAGACAGGTTAATGATGCCACGCTCTACTGGGTCTTTGTCACTGTTATAGATGAAGACGTAAGGGCGACGAACCACAACGAAATGTTTAGCCCAGTTGCTGGAAAGTGGCTCTTTGAAATGCAGGTATCCTTTCTTAGATACCACTGAGCTAAAAGGACATTGCAGAAGAAGTCAGTTTCTCCTAAAGTAAACAGTAATAAGCTGAAATCCATCAATACATGCTTCCACTAGGCGAGCCCTCAGATGCAACAGAACAGGAAAATGATCCATTGGGCCTACATTATCACTGGCCAAAGCAACACAGAAAAAGAGCAAATGCCACAGCAGCACAGAGTGCTAGGCTCAGGCACCCACTGCACACAGCAAGGATAATCCGTGTGCTCTACAAAGGCTGCATGTCACAGCACTCACCCTGCTCTGACTTCTTCAATGTCTGGAACAAGATTGAGAAATTCATTCTTTCCTGCTCGGGCCAAATAGGGCGTCTCCACAGTTGGGACAATCTGAAACTGTTCAAATTCTTGGCAGGGACTGGAGGCACGAGAGTTGGCTTCTGGGGTCCTTACAGAGAAAGAAAAGAGTAAGAAGCATTTCAGTAAGGTCAAAGCAACTGTGGACATGTGCTCACCCAGACACAGTGCCCGGCCCAAGTACCAGAGGCAAACGTCAGCTTTGGAGTTCTGTTAAAACAAGCTGGTGTCAGAAAGGTAATTCTCAATTTCAGCTCATTTCCTTGAAAAAGGACACTGGGGACCACTAAGTCACAGGCTCTCCTGCTATCCTAAGAACATAAGCACCTGAATATGATCCGTATTCCCTCATGAGTGTCCTATCAGTCTTATGGCCAGAACTGACAGAGTGGTTCTCAAAGTGAGGTCCCTGAGTGAGAGCAGCAGCATCTTCTGGGACTGGTAGACTCCCAATCAGAGGAAGTACCTGGACCTAGAGGAGAAGGTTCCTAAGAGCACAGGAATAGAGCAGTGGTCATTCTTTGGGCCTCTGTTCTGGTTGTTAAGGATTTCCTAGAATAGCTTATCATGTGTGTGTGTGTGTGTGTGGTGTGTGTGTGTGTGTGGTGTGTGTGTATACGCATGAGCTCATGCATGCAGAAGCCAGAGGTCAACACTCTGATGCCTTCCTCTATCATTCTCCACTTAATTGTGAAAGTTTTTATCTTTTATGCAGTATCTATTTATTCTGTGAGCCCTTTACAATGCATCTTGATCACCTCCACCTCTCTACTGCCCTCAACTCCCTCTGCTTCACAATACACACCCCTTCCAACTTCTTGTTAGTAATCTGGTGAGTTCAGTTAGTGCTGTCTATATTCACACAGGCATGGGGCCAAATACTAGAGCACAGACCAGTAGACATGCCACAAAGAGAAAGGACTCTTTCCCAGTAGCCATCAGTTGCTAGTAGCTCCTCAGCTAGGAATTGGGCCTTGTGAGACCCACCCCTATTGGACTGGCTTCATCCTGTGCTGGTCTCAGGCAGGTGACCACAGCTGCCATGGTTTCATGAGTGCAATGGCCATGCCACATCCAGAAGACAGCATTGCATGGCACTCCTCCATCCCCCAGCTGAAAGGGTTTTTGTTGTTTGTTTGCTTTTTGTTTTGTTTTTTTCTTGAGACAGGGTTTGTCTGTGTAGCCCTGGCTGTCCTGGAACTCATCTGTAGAACAGGCTGGTCTCAAACGCCGAGATCTGCTTGCCTCTGCCTCCCAAGTGCTGGGATTAAAGGTGTGCGCCACCACTGCTTGGTTCATCCCCGCCTCCCTCCATCCCCAAGCTCTTGAATTCCTTCTGTTCCCTCTTCTGTGATGTTCCCTGAGCCTTGGGGATATTTTTGAGACAGAGACTCTCACTCAATCTGGAGCTCAACATTAGACTAGCTGGCCAGCAAGCCCAGGATCCACCTGTCTCTGCCTCCTGAGCACTGAGATCACAGGCGTGTCCGCTGCAGGTGCTTTTCTGTGGATGCTGGGAGTCTGAACTCAGGTTCTCAGGCTTGCACAGCGAGCACCTCACCAACCAAGCCATCTCCCTGGTCCTCTGTGTTTTATCATTTCTTGAACTGGGATGCATCTTACATTTGATTGGTGTTTTTAATTAGCTTTTGCTTTCTTAGTAGCACATATAACAATTCCATACAGCTAATAACATCCTAAATTTAATAAAATTAAATTTAAAAAGTGCCCACACATTTAGAGTTGTCCAGAATAGGAGTCCAGAACTATAGAAAAGCTGGCACTTTGTTTGCTTGTCTCTGTGAAATCTGAGTACTTACTTCTGGTCCATAGAGCTGCTCCTGGAGTCCACCAGAGAGGGGCATGTGGAGGAGGGTGTGAGGGTGGAACTGCTGAAACTGGACACCGAGGGGTCCCGTCCAATTGGAGAGATGTCAGACAGCTACAACAAGGATGGCACCAGTGAGATTCAGCAGCAGCACAATGGAGCTCAACATTAGACCAGCTGGTCAGCAAGCCCAGGAACCACCTGTCCCTGTCTCCTCAGCACCGGGATCACAGGCGTGTCCGCTGCAGGTGCTTTTCTGTGGATGCTGGGGGTCTGAACTCAGGTTCTCAGGTTTGCACAGTGAGCACTTCTCCTCTGCCTCTGCCATAGAGCAGCAAAAGCCGTCCAAGACAACTAGTATCTCGCTTTTTTAAGGCTGATTCAAAGTCACTAAAGAAAACAAGCCTCTATACACAATTATTACTGCTCTGAGGTAATGCACCAAACTGCTCTGAGGTAATGCACCAAACTGCTCTGAGGTAATGCACCAAACCCTCGGTTCTATCCCCAGAGTGAGGAAAAAAAGGAGGAGGCAGGAGAGAGTTGGGTGTGGGGGAAGAATGAGAAACTTTTTGTGTCTCTAATTCTCTTTGCCCGTCTCATAACTGTCACATAAATGCCAGGCACCTATAGCACACATGCACTGTTCTAAGCACGTGGCAAAGGCCTGCACTCATGGAGCATACATTAGTGAAGAAGGGAGACAAACTTTCAAAACGTGCCAGATGGTCAGGCCCATGTCTTTAAGTTCAGTACTGAGGAGGCAGAGGCAAGCAGAGCCCTGGGAGGTCAAGATACTACCATAGCAATTTTCCAAGAAGCCAGTGATACATAGTTATACCATGTCTCAAAAAACCCAAATAAATAAATAAATAATAAATAAATAAATAAATAAATAAATGTACCAGATAGTAGGGCCAGAAATATGTCTCAGTGGCTAAGAGAACTGGCTGCTCTTCCAGAGGGCCTGGGTCTGAGTCCCAGCACCCACATAGTACTTCACAACTATCTGTGACTCCAGTTCCAGAGGATCCAATGCCCTTTCTGACCTCCACAGGTACCAGGTGCAAAACATGATGCATGGAGCTACATGCATGTAAAATACTCATACACACAAAATTAAAATAATAAAAGGGAGAAACAAGCGTCTCAGGAGGTCGCTGGCCTGCTTAGGAAGAGGCAATGCTGTCCCAAGAAGGCAATGCTGGGACAAAACCCAGAAATGATGAAGGAGCCACGCATGGGAATGTCTAGAAGAAGGTATGTGAAGAGATCTAGGCAGGCAATAGCTGGGAAGATTGAAGGAAAAGCCAAAGGATCAGGCTGATGCAGGCCATGAGGGACACAAAAGTACTCTCAAGAACTATCCTTCTTTGCTGAATGCATTAATCCTGATGTCACCAATAGCCTCAAGGTTTTCTTTCAACAAAAGCATAGTACTTGCCAATATCACAAGCTCTTCTAATGGACTCAAAAACAAAACAAACAAACAACCTAAATATTTCCTATGACAGTGACCCTATGCTTCCTAGAAGGAGTCTACCAACTTCAGAAGTCAGTGTCCTGACAAAATCAGACGCCATGCCAGAGTATAACGCTACACACCTGCAGACACAGTCTATACCCATCTCAACCTCTAAAACCAGCAAAAGTTGTGATCAGAAATCGGACAGCTGGGAAGGAAAGAGTCAATACCACAACAGAAAAGCAATGGCTTAGTATGCTCACCTTACAGTCACTGACACTGCCGTGGACCTGGCTGAATTCTCGGTTGAAAGTGTGGGTGAGAAGCTGCAGGCACTAAAAATGAGAGAAAGATAGTCAGTCAAGGCCGAACATAAAACTCCAATGACTAAATGAAGTCCTGTATATGAGAACTAACATGTCCTACACCTATGCTAGCTTAGAATACCTAAGAATATGCTGAGGAAAGCTAGCATAGGTCTAGTTAAGGCAATAAAAAGCAAATAGATTTCAACAACCATCCTTAATACAACCAAAGCAAATTACTACAGACATAGCATAGAAGTGCTTGGAAGCAGAGCATGATGGCCCATGATAGCATTAGAGAAGCAGAGGCAGACAGATCTCTGTGAGTTCAAGACTAGCCTGGTCTACAAAGTTTCAGGACAGCAAGGGCTATAGAGAAGCCCTATCTCATTAGGAATATAACAGGAGAACCAGGCGTGGCAATATACGTCTCTAATTCCAGCACTCAGCAGACAGAGCCAGGAACAGGCTGCTGCAAATTCAAGGTCAGTGTGATCTAGACAACAAGCTTCAAGTCAGCCAAGGCAAGACAGGAAGACTGTGTCTCAGAAACCCAAAAGAGTGGACTCTTTTTCTAATTCTCAACTGAATAAAAAACACGGGTTGGGAATGTCGCCTAGTGGTAGAGTGTTTGCCAAGTATACATGAGGACCCAAATTTAATTCCCCTAACTGGAAAACCAAAACCATGAACCCTTCTGGTTGGACACACTTTCCTAAAGACATAAATTCCCTAAGCTACTGGATGCCCCTAAAGTGTGTTCTCACAATACCAACTCTATAGGACACGGCATGTGAAAGGCTTGGGACCAGTCTTAAGCTCGGGGCAAGAACTGACCCTTATTATTTCTATGCTCAGTATCAGTGTCTTCAAAGAGAGCTGCTGAGAATGACGGAAGAGACACTATCTCAGTGCCTGGTGGTAGGGACTTGAAGAGGGAGAAAGGATTCCCCACCTTTGTAGCCAGCTCTTTCTCTCGGTCTACCAGGCTCTCAATGTCTGCTGAGTCGTAGCCACTGCTCTCGCTCGGTGTGATGGCGCTTTCAAAGGTGGTGGTTGAGATCTGAGAAGAGATGCTGGTCGAGGTGCTGAGGGTCCCACTGCTGAGGCTGGGGGACAATGAGTCACTAAGAGACTTGGGTATGCTGTCACCAAGTCTCTCCCGAAGCAGCAAGAAGTGGCGAGTTTTTTCCACCTGAGAACAGGAACGTATTATCTAAGTTCATCAAGTGTTTTCATATGCAGATCACTGTGCTTTCATCACCACAGGAAGTCAAAGAGCCGAGGAGTCACAGAGGGAAGGCAGGGGTGGCAGTCCCTGACTCGGCCCAGGCTGCCCTTGATACCTCATGCAGCAGCTCCAGCTTCTCCAGCTCCCACTGGTGTTCCAGGATGAGGCTGTCTCCACGAGGTCGCCAGCCCGCTAGGTTCTCCTCTCCCCGCACGTATGCCACCGAGGTATCCAAGACTTTTCTCCTCCGCCTCTGCATGCCTAAGAGAAAGCGTGCGTGTTGTTGTTTAATCCCCCAGAGGAGAATGTAATCCCAATTTAAGTCAAAATAAATTACTCTTACACATTTTTAAATGGTAAACTAAATTTGGCCTTAAAAAGCTATAAGATTTTAGTCATTAGTAAAACTGACACCGGGAGCTTTTTAGGCGTTGCTCTCTGGCTGTGCTTTTTCTTGAACCGATGAGTAATTTCAAGTAACTCGTTGATTTGAGGAAAGAAGAGGATCTGCACAGGCATCGACTTGATAAATGGCTTTGAGGCATTTTAGCTATATACAGCTTGGTAAAATTTTGTCTGTATTAGTGCCTCAGCCATTAGAAGCTGGACAAGCTTTTCTGCCTACTTATTCTGTCTGGTAAATGCAATTTTTTTGACAGGCTATGTCTAGATTTAAGAAACTTCAGCATGTTTCTCCTTTTTGATATCCAACAGGTTTCCCCTGGGCCATATTATATAAACCATGTATCATTTTTTGTTCTCACATTTTCTGTAAGATTATAGCCTTAAGTTCAAATCCAGACTGGGTTACATGATGTAGTTATCATCCGAATATTTGTGATATAACTGAGAAATCTGAATTAAAGCTTTTAAATGCCAAAAAAAAAAAAAGAAAAAAAAATTGATGCCAGGAGTGGTGTGGTGCATGCCTTCCATTCATGCATCGAAGAGGCAGAAGCAGGTAATCCCTGTGAGTTGGAGGCTAGCGTGGTCTAAATACTGAGTTCCATACTAGTCTGGGGTACCTAGTGAGACCATGTATTAAAAAATAGAAAGCCAGGAGGTAGTGGCGCATGCTTTTAACCCCAGTACTTGAAAGGCAGAGGAAGATGGGTCTCTGAGATCAAGGCCAGTCTGGTCTACTACAAAGCAAGTTCCAGGACAGCCAGGGCCATACAGAGAAATCCTATCTCAAAAGCCATGAAAGAAAACAAATGTTTTCTTTCATTGAAATGCTGGGCTCAGACTATGGCCTCGTATGAACTACACAAATTCCTTACCATTATTAACTAGTATCTCTGCCATAAACATGGATTTCTGATTATTTCCCTGGTGAAGCTGACATTGCTGATCAATAGTATGAGGCTGGGCCGGGTGGTGGTGGCACACGCCTGTAATCCCAGCACTTGGGAGGCAGAGGCAGGTGGATTTCTGAGTTCGAGGCCAGCCTGGTCTACAGAGTGAGTTCCAGGACAGCCAGGGCTACACAGAGAAACCCTGTCTCGAAAAACAAACAAAACAAACAAACAAACAAACAAAAAACAAACAAACAAAAAAACCAAAAAAGTAAAAACAGTATGAGGCTGACAAATGACCTCTGATAAGTGGTACAGTAAGCAGTTGTAAGGTTTTCTGAAGAGCTAGGCTCCATGGCTCAGAACCTGAGATCCTAACACTTGGAAGGCAAAGGGCTTCTGTAAGTTGCAGGCTTGAACAAAATCCTGTCTCAAGAAATGCTTTCTAAGCCAAAGATCTTTTTGTTTTTGTTTTTTGAGACAGGGTTTCTTTGTGTCTCTGTGTGTTTGTGGAACTTGCTTTGTAGACCAGGTTGGCCTCAAACTCACAAATACCCACCTGCCTCTGCCTCCTGAGTACTGAGACTGAAGGTGTGTGCCACCATGCCACACTAAGCCAAAGTTATTCTAAATTCTCTCAACAAGTTCATATTTCACAGCCTAGTTGTGGGGCACCATTTTTATAATCATATTAAATAAATAAATCATAAATCAAACAGTGTATCTTACCACCACCACCACCACCACCACCACTACCACCACCACCACCACAAAACTGGTTTGTAAAATACTAAAAATACTTTCTTCCTCCCAACATAAATGAGACTGCAAATTTTTTAGTAATACCCCTGACACATCCGGTGTGGTAAGAACGTACCAGGGCTCCCAGTATCTGCCATTTTGCATAAGCTCAGCTCGTAGATTCCAGTCACTCGGTTGCTATTTGAATATAAAGTAGAACAGCTGATGAGTTTCTTGTAGCACAAAATGGGAAAACCTGGGTTTGTTTACTTAAGAAAGATCAAGTCTTCTCAATGGGCTACAATTCCATACTTAGATATACACTGTTTTCATTTTTATTTATTTCTGTGTATGTGTGTTTGTGTGTGTGTCTGTGTATATGCATGTGTAGGTTGATGGTCAGCTTGGGAAGTCAGTTTTCTGGTGCCATCATGTGGGCTGTGGCTCAGGTTGACGGCAGGCCCCTTCACCCCTGGGCCATCTTTCTGGTCCTAGTTAAGACACTGATTATTTTTTATCATTAACTGTTGTTTACTTATTTACTTTATTTCTCTTAAGAGATGTCTATTTTCAGTTTGATATTTGGACCACTGTTATTTCAAAATGATGAATAGAACAGGATACACTAGAAAATTCACAACATAAATGAGAAAACTAAGAACTTTTCTTGACATAAGAGAAGAAAATGTCTGACTGAAAGGAAATGATTAACAACAAATCCTGGACACTGCAGGAAGGGACTCAATGTTTCACTGCATTGTAGTCATTCTTCTTTTACTCACTAAGATGAGTGTGATATTCAAGTTTCCAGGCCATATAGCCTCAAAGGTGTATTTTTTGTGTGCCTAAAATAGGTACAATAACTCTTATACTGAAGGAAATCTCAATGGCAAGCTATTAAAAATATGAGTAATAGTGATAATTAGTCCTTATTAACCTGCTTTGGAAGTATTTACATAGAATACTCTTCTTCATCATTAACATTGTAGTAAATGCCACCATGCAAGTCATCTCAACTCAGGTGTCAGTTACTCAAATGGTTTATACATGACAAACTAACTTGCAACAGGAGTTGGGAGACCTAAGCCTGCTGTCTCTGTTGGACTAGGCAAAGAACTGGAAACTCAGCTTGTTTAAAAAACTTACGAGTCTGGTGACTTTGAGTAGCCACTACCAAAGAGGTTTCGCAGGGAACGTGGTGGTGAGATCTTGGCATCTCGGGAATAGAAGACCATGCACACATCCTTAGTGATAACAGCTGGCTGGATGCAATGGTCCAACTGCAAACAGACAAGATAAAGTGCTGAATGATAAGGCAGAGCAGCTGTGGTGAAAGCTGTCCAGTAGTGGATTAGGAAAGCTGGTTCCAGCTGTGGAGATAGGTAGGCTTCTGCTTCAGTGATTTCCAAAGCCACTCAACAGATAATAATACAAAGTCAGATGCATTCATAATACATGCATATTTTCTTTTGAGGGAAAATTCTATCATTGCACACACTATTTAAAAATGAAGAAGCCAGCCATGGTGGCACATTCTTTGAATCTCAACACTCAGGAGGTAGAGGTAGGTGGATCTCTCTGAGTTCAAGGCCAGCCTAGTCTACAAAGAGAGTTCCAGGACAGCCATACCTACACAGAGAAATCCTGTCTTGAAAAACAAAACAGAAAATGAAAGAGAAAGAGAGAGAGAGAGAGAGAGAGAGAGAGAGAGAGAGAGAGAGAGGAGGAAGAGGAGGAAGAAGAGAAGGAGGAGGAGGAAGAGGAGGAGGAGGAGAAAGAAGAAGAGGAGGAGGAGGAAGAGGAGGAGAAGAAAGGAGGAGGAGGAAGAGGAGGAGGAAGAGAAGAAGAAGAAGAAGAAGAAGAAGAAGAAGAAGAAGAAGAAGAAGAAGAAGAAGAAGAAGAAAAGAAGGAGGAGGAGAAGGGACACAGAAGCTCATGAGAGGACAGACACAGGGCAGTAAGTGACCGCACAAAAGTCAGAATCTAGCTCAGATCAGGCATGATGGCGCCTGCCTATAATCCCAGTGTTTGGGAAGTAGAAACAGGAGCAACAAGTCATCTTCGGCTACATAGTAAGTTTGAGGCAAGCCTTGGATACGTGAGACTCAAAAACATAAAATCGGAAGAACTCAGGCTTGTTCCAAGACCTGGAAGTAGTCTCTGTTACGATCAGGAAAACACGGCAAGAAACTGTCCTAACTGGTGATTGGGTTCCTGAAGCTTAAGTGATCAAAAACGTTGTGCTCTTCTGACTCAACAGAGCCCTGGAACAGAATCTAAAACAATTAGAACAGCTAGCGAAGTAAAACCACATGAACAGTGTAAGGATATGGAGGGGGAAGGGAAGAGAAAGTAAGCTGGATTTCTGCTGACTGCTCCTGTCACCGCCTACTTCTCAGGGCCTGCTCAAGTTATGGGTCCCTTACCTCCAGATAAGCAGATAAGGTCATGTAGATCTTTTCTCCATAGGGTGTCACCCGGTTCAGAAGGAGCGAGTTATGTAGGGAGCTGTCCCATACAGCCTCGAAACGGTAGAAAGTCCTGAGGTCAGAAAGACAATGTCAACCCAAAGTAGCCAATGGTAGCAGAAGGATCACCACTGGCAGGGTCCTAAGGAATCCCATGCCAGTCACTACCATTCTCTGTTTATCACACACTAACAGAGGCAGGCACCCATCCGTTAGGGATACTTAGCTGTGCGCCTCATTCCTGCGTTTTGATAAAGTTGCTGCCTGCTAACATGAGCACAGTGGCAGCACTGCCAGGAATGGGCCGCACGGCTGCAGCCAACACTCGGGCAGAGGCAGGACAACTGCTGAAGTCTGACCCTAGCTTGGTCCAATATCCAGTTTTGTCTACCAAGCTCTAGACTGGCAAGGGCATAGCACAAGACTCTTTCTCAAACAAAGCCAGCCCCACCACCAACATAAACTATGAGGATATTCAAAAGAAGTAAGAAGAATGTAGACAGAATCTGAAAGAAAAATTCCAAGTGGGCCATCCTGTCTGTTTTAATAACAGATAAGAAGGACTCAGCCAGGCATGGCGGCAGGCACATGCCTTTAACCTCAGGAGGCAGAGGCAGGCGGATTTCTGAGTTCAAGGCCAGCCTGGTCTACAGAGTGAGTTCCAGGACACCCAAGACTACACAGAGAAACCCTGTCTCAAAAAACAAAACAAAAACCAACCAACCAACTAAACAAACAGAAAAAGTAAGGACTCTGTAACAGGTAGGCTTCAGTGTCCATGTCCCCGAGATCTAAACTTCATAGGATGATGGCTCTGCAGACTCTCAGAGATGCTTGAAGGTAGGAACAGGCAGAATCTAATTATTTCATCGAACAAACCCAAGTTCATTTATCAGTAGTAGAGAAGAATTTGACAACACTAAAGGTAGTTTTTATCATTCATTCCTTCTAAATGTATCTGAAAATTAACCTTATAGTTAAGAAATAATCATAAGCTAAATTTAGCAGACTGGTTTCAGTTCTTCAAGTCTGAGTTTTTCCTACTGGCAATATGACAGACAGGTGGCACAGGTGGGGCTACAGATCAATTCCAAGGCCTGTATCATTTTCCTTCTTAGAACTCTGACACCTTATGGGGGAGATGTTCTTGTAACCCCATCTCCCTCATAACACTAGTCTTAGGAAGAACCGAGCTCACCTACCTCCCGTAGAAAAACTGTTTACTGTACCCTACTCCCTGCCAACCATGTTTCCCCTTCCGTCTCTCCAAATGCTGACCTCACTAGTTCTGCCTTTCTAGGTCTCCAATGACAACTAACAGGCATATTCTCTCTCTAGGCACACCCCATGCATCGTCCTCCAGAGAACGCGAGCAGAGAACACGCTCTGAAAGTGAATCCCCTGACCACAGCTCATGTTTCCAGTGCCCAGATTTGAGGTGTGGCCACGCCCATCTGCAGCTGTCCTTACTCAGGTCTTTTCTGAAATGTGACGGTTTCTCAGTGTCAAGTTTTTGAGGCAATGAATGTGGAACAAGAAAATTCACTATATAGACTCAGAAGGCAGACAGCAACAATGAGACAGTCATCAGGTGACCCAGAGTAAAACAAAAATGCCAGGCAAGGAAAGCCTTTTTCGTGGCTTAGAGATTCAGCAGAACACCTCCATGTACTCAAAATCTTGTTTAAAGTAATAATGCTGGGGGGGGGGGGGGGGGGGGGGGGGGGGGGGCGTGAGGGGGAACTACTCCAGCCAACTGAGGTGGAATGAGCCTCCTTCAAAGCCTTTCGCCTTGATACTCTGGAAACATCGGCAGGAGGATCCTGTGAGTTCAAGGTCAACATGGTTTATACAGTGAGGCTGTCTTTAAAACAAAACAAAAACCCTAAGTAGTTAACTAACTAGTTAACTAACTAACATTTCTTCTTACAGACTCAACTATCCGAAGAGTCAATCTGCTTTCCATGCACAGAGCAGAACCAGTAAGTGAGATCTGCAGTCGACTTTTCAAGCCTTGAGAGAGGTGGGGCAGAGCAAGGGGTGAGGGGAGAGAGAATGGCAGGGCACAAAGCCTGAGATTACATATGACATGTAAAATATTCCAGTTTACAATGTAGGAAAGAACAACTTGAAGAGGTGTTTAAAACTTATTAAATGCAATGAGACAATCATTTAGCAAGTCATCCGGGAAGTGAAGTATGAAGCGGACAGCACCGGGGCATTCTTAGGTTGTAAAGTTAGGTCTTGCTCTAGTCTAGGTAAGGCTTAGGTTTACACAGGAAAGAAACCACTGAATTAAAACAGGAACCAAAGCAACATACGACATAAAGCGTTCTGGTAAACTAGGATCTCTACAAGCAAAAAAGCCAACAGAAAATACCTAGGTATATCCTTATCAAGAAAGAGCCTGCAAAAACACAAGACGCTTCTGTTAGTCCAGCAACCAAAAACACAGACACAAAGAAAAACAAACAAATATATATGGAGAAATAGAAACACACAGAGGAAAATATTTTTAGAAAAGGCAAAATATGCTGAGAAGCAAACTGAATTCCGGTGGACAATGAACATGGGATTCTGGGACACAATCTGGTAAGGGGCTTAAGATGACATGAATCCTTCTCCCAAGACTTTCATTAAGAAAAACAATGGGCTGACAAAGTGGTGCACGCCTTTAACCCCAGCACACGGGAGGCAGAGGCAGGCAGATCTCTGTGAGTTCTAAGCCAGTCTAATCTACAAAGCGAGTTTCAGGACAGCCAGGACAGTTATTCAGAGAAATTCTGTCTCAAAAAAGCAAAAATTTAAAAATGAATAGAAAATAAAAAAGACGGACTACAAAGGAACACGGAGATCAAATCTTTAATGACCCCCCCCCACTCCCCAGTTATGATATGGTAAGAAACTGCTGTTGAGCTAAGAGAAAACCAAGGCTTGGTTAACACAAGTGCAGGTGTGGACAGAAAGGGAATCAGGATCTTACCAATTACTCTCACTGTCAATGCGTTAGAGACCCTCTGAGACACACATATAGTGGAACCAATCTGCAGATGTATACATTAATTTAACACTAGCTCTTAGATAACCTGAACAGCAACTTGCCATATTAACCTATGAGCCTGTGATGGTAAACACTGTGTAACTTGGCAGGACCTAGAATCTTCTCAGAGACAAATCTGCAGGCATGTGTGGGAGGACTGTCTAGGCCAGGTGAACTGAGGTGGAAAGAGCTTCCCTAATGAGACCTGTGCCATTCCATGGCTGCTGTCCAGACTCAACATACAGAACCCAGTGAGCTGAGCACCAGTGTTCATTGCTTTCTGCCCCTTGGCTGCAAGTGCAGTGACACCAGCTGCCTCAGGTTCCAGCTGCAGATGCAGTGACACCAGCTGCCTCCGGCTCCGGCTGCAGATGCAGTGACACCAGCTGCCTCCGGCTCCGGCTGCAGATGGAGTGAGACTAGCTGCCTCCGGCTCCAGCTGCAGATGCAGTGAGACCAGCTGCCTCAGGCTCCGGCTGCCTACACGATGGCCTATATTCTTGAGCTGTAATAAACCTCTCCTTCCTTAAGTAGCTTTGCCAGGTGCTTTTTCATAGCAACAAGACAAATGACTAAACAGATCTCTGTCTCCAAATTGGAATATTCCAAACTAGAGAGGTGTCTCATACGCCTAGATAATTAATTTTAAAGACCGAGTTGCTTACTAAGAGTTACTAGTATATATCTGTTCTTAAACATTGTTTTAAATGTATATAAACGTTTTTCCTGCATGAAGGTAAGTATACCACATGTGTGCTTGGTGCCAGAGGAGTTCAGAAGAGGGTACTGGAACTCGAGTTCTGAGTTATGATATGGGTCTAGGAACCAAATCTGGGTCCTCTTCAAGAGCAGCCAGTGCTCTTAACTGGTAAGCCATTTATCCAGCCTTCTTAAATCTTTTTATGACAACTTTGTTAATTATTATAACCATTTACATTTAATTAAATATTAGGCATATCAATCAAATATAAGGCTAAATAGAACTTTCTGTGAAGATCAATTTAAATGATTTTTCCTAATATGAGAAGTTGAATTGTTTAATATCTGTTGAATTTAGATGAGATTTTTCTTTTGAGACAGACTTTCACTCTGTGGCCCACCAACAGCTTCTGACTTTCAATCCCCTAACCCCCTTCCTTTCAGCTTCCAGTTCTTGTTCCACCAACTGTAAAACCATAGGATACACTAAAGTGTGTGTGTGTTTTTAACAAGAAAGACAGCATTCCAACAAATAATCCCATAATTAAAGAACAGACTTTGACCTACTGCAAGAATTGATAACTTAATGTGTACACACAAAGCTTCAATTATTACAAAAAATGTTGAGGCTAGATAGATAACCCAGCAGACGAGGACCCAAGTGTACTTCCCAGGGCTCACATGGTTGATAGAGAGAACCAACTCCAGGAAGGTGTCCCTTGACTTCCATAAGTACACACGCTCTCACAAAGTAAAATGTATATATATTTTTAAAAAGCCAACTTATTTGAAACCGAATTCACTTCATATAGCACCCGACCTGTTGCCAGGCTCAGGTCAGAGGACTTTTCAAGGGTACTTCAGTGTAAGGTCCGACACAGTCAGGGGTTCAACCCAACAGCATCTACTTAGCAGCTGAAGGAAATAGTGATGAATGCCAGCTGATCACTGGCAAGAGAGTCATGAGGTGTCTCTGCTGACTTCAGAGACGTGGTGCTATGTATGGTCTGCCCAGGAGGAGGTGATGGTACCCTCTCCCCAGACACAACACCCACTCACACTCAGCTTCCTTCTCACAGGCCCTGTCAGCTCTCCTTACATGCAGAAAACAAGCATGTGTGTTTGTTTGCTTTTCTTCTCCTAAGCAAAACTGCAATATAAGGAAAAAATTTAATCCTGACCCAAACCTATTCATTCTGTTTCTGCCTCCTGTCTTATTCCCACCTTTCCTAACATACACACAAGCAGGTTTTCCAGGGCATAAAGCAGCACAGAGAATTAATTCCATAACGCAAAGGCAGTGTCCTCGGCCCATACTGGATGTGCATGGTTCCCAGCCTTGTCATTCTCCAAGACAATAACCTAACCTAGAGCTGGATTACAGGTTGTTCTGAGTCACGTGAGGGGTGCGGGGAATGAAATTTGGGTCCTCTACAAGAACAGTAAGCACTTTTACTGAGTCATTTTTCTAGCTCTGAAAACAGAATTTGTTTGTTTATTTGTTTAAAGACATGCTCTCTCTCTGTAGTCCTGGCTGTCCTGTAGCTTCCTATGTAGACCAGGTCAGCCTTGAATCACAGAGATCCTTCAGTCTCCTAATCCCAAATGTGGAATTAAAGGTGAACAGCACCACATCAGAATTACTGAAGTAAAAAGGAAATTCCTTTCTTCATTTGCATCACGAGTCATTAGAAATAGGGAATCTAATGTGAATCCGTCAAACAACATCAGGCTGACACTTGTGTGATGCAGGGCATCCTACCTGCTGCAGCTGTGGGAA